GTCTTTAAAGGCCAAGGAAGATGATCTTGGTTTCTGTATGTGGATGAGTGACAAGAGTCCGGTCAACCAAACAAGCCTGTTGGTTCCTTTGGCATGGTTCTTGAGACACTAGATATCAGAATAAACATCTGAAACTTTTCACTTCACTTGTTCTGTTGACTGCATTGGGGTTATGATGAACTTCCTGTTGGTGAGCTTTTGCCCTGAAGAGCCTTGCAGGTGGAGACGTGCCTATCAGTTGGAGGGGGTGGGGGGCAGGTGGTGGCATATGCTTTTGTGTGAAACTAAGCCTATTAGCTTTCAACTCCTGCATTTGAGTAGTATTCTTGGAGAAGGAGATAGCTGCTTAATCTGCAAATGACATTTCTTTTGATGAGGTGACTCATAGAGTCAGGACCCATCATGCTCTTTAAGCAAATTCCTGTAGATAGATCGTTACAGTTGCCTTTCAAACAGCATCTAGCCCAGGCCACTGATCTCATCAAAGCATCTGCTTACCTGCTAGAGCTCAGAGCTGTAGTGAAAGTGTGTTAAGATGTCACCTTCCTGGAAACTTTTCATTTTAACTCTGTATTCTTATACCTTATGGCTGATGCTGTCCTTCTTAAAATTAAGGTTTTCCTTTCTTCATAATTTTCACACTTTTCAGGACATCCCGGAGTTTATTCATGTGATGGTAGCTGACATTTAGAAGAGTGTTTTTTTTCATGCAGAGACTGTTCGGGTAATAGGTTGTGTTGATGCTGCCAAGACAAGGACGTTTTTGCTACCAGATGATGCTCTTAAAGCTCATCTTAATTCAGTGACTCTGTTGAGAAATGTTCCTGACATATATATGTCAAGTGGCCTTTTAACGTGGATAACGATAGTTCTATGCCTCTTACTGGTAGATCTGCCTGTGTAACTCTCAGCCAGATGGTAGAATACTTATGAGGCTATTGCTTGGAGTCACCTGAGGTAAGCTTGCTTATGGGTTGCTACACCTGAAGATCAGAACATAGGAATTCTTCAAGCTAGGTTGCCCACATGTCTGTTTCCCTTGTCTCCATCCCCTCTAGTCCTTTCTGAAGTGTTGCTCTTCTAGGAACTTGTGGTAGAGAGGTAAATAGCTGCATTGTGTCCTGTTACGTGTATGTTCTGAGCAGGAGTGTAAAGTGTAAGTATTCTTTTTGTGGATGCTCATTGTCCTGGTTAAACCACGACACTCATGATGAGAAAAAAGTGTGCAGTCTTACATCAGGATGCTTGTGTGGACTGTGCATCTCAAAACTCAGTTACTTGTAAGCAGTTTAATTGCATAAGTGTATGCATATGAACTCTGTAAAAAATACAAAAATGAAAAAGGCAATAATGCAACAGGTGACTGAATTTATCAGATTTATAAGTTAGAAGTAATGAAACAGTTTCTGAATAGATAAATAGCAATGTGCTTTCCGATCTCTAGCTGAACATTGGCTCTGCTTGCTAAGTACAGCTCCCTCTATTTTTAAATCTTGGCTCTTGACTTGCAGGTGCCAGTGAAATTGGTCTTTGTGCTATTTCAGCTCTTCCAAGAGCAAAGCATTAGTGAAATATCCAGTAGCTAAGAGTCTTATGAGACTCCTAATATTTCTGTGCCAGCTTTCTGCACTGCGATGTAGTTTGAATAGAAAGCAGCTTTAGAAGGGCCACTGCTCTTTGTATACAGATATACAAGGGATTGGGACAGAAACTGACCTTGTGTTCTTTTGCCTGTTTCCTCCTGCTTCTTTGCTGGAAGTAATTTGTATCTGCTAGCTCTGGGGTATTTTGCTTTTCACAGCTCTTACATTAAGAACAGAGAGATGTACATTTGACTGCATGCATTCTGCCTGCATTTTTTTTTTTTTTAGTTGTAGCTGTGCCACAAGCATCTCCGCTAAAATTTCTCATTTTCACCAGCTGTCACTTCAGCTTGAACCAAACTGGCATTTATGACTGATGATCTTAAGCAAAAGTCAGGAAATTTGTAAGAGAAAATGAACCTGTTTCCCATTACTTGCCCTTAAAATTCTTGGAACTGTCAGCTACCCAATGTCCTCTACAGGTTCCTTTGTTTTAATGATGTTCTTTTAAAACATACTGCCTGGTATGATCTAGCACTTGGTAGCGTGTTTTACAGAATGTTAGCCAGCAACACTAAGAATTTGCTTGGCCCCTGTAGTTTTTACTCCCTGTTTATCTCTTGAAGTCATTAACGCATGTTAATGAAGAATTGTTAATTAAATTCCATTTGTGGCTCATCTTAATCTTGTACAATCTAAGTATGTTAAAAGTTAGACTCAAGTCTGTTAAGTCTTAGGCCTTATCACACTCAGCTTCACACCAACCACACGTATCCCAGAAAGTGATTTGTCGCTAACTACAGAGGTCACAGCAGTTGGTGACTCGGGTATTTATTAGCTTCTAAGTTGCTATAATTTTAGTACTGTTTTGTAGTGGTTGTCCTAGAGTAATGTGTGTGTATAGTGCAAATGAACGACATGTTTCAGTGAGGATTAGAAGGATCTGAGTGTGTGAATTGGTTTTGTGTTTCTTTGGATTATTTTCTAAGGGGTATCTCTATCTCATGAAAAAAGGCATTTTATAAAGTATTAGAGCAATTTATGGCCTGGTAAGCCTGGAAAAGTAGGTCAATGGCTTTAATGACAAGGGCTAGTAAATCACTAAGTAGTGGCGTTCAAACAGTGTATTAATCAAATATTGGTGGTTTTAATTTAGATTTGTCCTGTTTTTTTAGTTCAAGAAAAGAATAAAACTACGTTTTTCTGGTTCATTCTTTTGCCAAAGTTTTAACTAATTTGGATTTACTGCTTAGCTGTTTGCATTGATTGTGACTGTCTTTTGTTCTTTCAGGGGAAAATATTTCACTGCTGTTTTTATTTCTTGCCTTTATTTCTGTGAATAGGAAATTGGTATAATGCAACTAACATAGTGTAGTATTAAAAACAATTTTTTTCATTCAGCAAAATAGTTTTCATAGCAGCTTTATTAAAATTATCTCTCAACCTTAATTATGTAATCTTTTTTGCTTTGTGCTATTTAATAAAATTGGAAGTTGCTGTTGGACCCAATGAGAAACTAGCACAGTATGAATACTTCAAAGTAAAAAGTATGCTAAGGTATTTAATGCACTTAGGATTGTGTGAATGAAGACTGTGTGGAACTTTAAATTTACTTAGTTCGTACACACTTATTATGATAGCTTATGTGGTGTCATTCTGTGGCAGAGCCAGTTGGATCCTTGCTTTAAATACAAGAGAGATCTTTCTCTCTTTTGGCAGTATCTGCACAGCTGAATATTGCCAGAAATTATGTGCTTGATTAGATGCTGTTACTGGTCATGTAACAGAGCCTTTTCTGCTCAATTCCTTAGGTAATGTTTAAAAACAAAAACAAGCTGCTGATTCATCTTCTGGATATGTATTGGTTGTCCAGCCAGTTCACTTGGGTGTCTTAAACCTGAAATGTTTTACATCAGAAACCACCCTAGGTCCCTCTGTACTGTTAATTGCAGAACTCATATGAAATAAGCAAGTACGGAGGAAGTTGACAAAGTGCCTTCTAAATAAGTGGTGACACACTGAAGCATTGATTTCTTCTAAAAAAGCTTGCATTTCTCACTGCTTTTCCTAGAATTAGTAGGATGTAACAAGTTGTTCCTCCAGTTTAGCACTTGTTTGATGCCTAAGTATGTGGCGGTGGGGAAATCAACTTTTTTCATTTATATGTGGCTTTTTGCTGTAACCTTTTTGTATGAGCTCTCAGCAATTAATATATTCCTGATTAAATTCAGATTGCCTTACATAGAGAATCTTGGCAATGTTCTTCGATGCTTTGGCTCTCAAGATCAAAGGACATGCCTAGTTCAGGCAGTGTAGCTGTGAGTAAGGTTGGATAAACATTGTGGTTTTATTGTATTCACCTGTACATTTTTTTTTATTAGTTTGGACTTTCCATGTCCAGAGTATTGGTTGTGCAAAACTGGTATTTTTAGCTTCCAATAGGGAAGTCATCTCCCTAGCCAGTGGTTCTTGAGAGAAACCAGATTCTGCAAATGACACTGCTGTTGTTTCTGTTGCTTCCTACTCTCAGAGAACCTGTAGCTAACGTTTTGCCATGTTTATTGATGCTGATCTTTAATATCCAGGTATTTTTGAAGGTCTGTGGTTTTTTCTGAAGTACAGCTTGATTGCGTACTTCAGGGTTTAAGAACTGTTTTGCCCTTTTGCCCCCATTTGTATACCTGGTATCTTTGTATGCAAAGGAAAGAGCAGAGAGCTTATAGTCATTTTAGCTGTTTGTTACTGGTGTTAGTAGCAGCACTGTTTATTTTCATTTTCGGTCCTAAACCAAAGAAAGAGTTTCATGTTAGCAGAGCAGGAAGACATGACAAAATACTGGTTTTGCAAAAGATGAGTATTTGTCATTGAGAGCCATATTTAAATCAGACACTCATGGCGGGTGGAGACCCTAAATGCACAGGCACATGAAAGAACAAATCATAGCTTTCCTTACCTTAAAAGATACAGTTTGACTTAATGGTTATTGGCCACTTGTATAAGATACTGACATAGTGATAACTGAAAATCCTGGTTTTGACATAAATGAAAAGAGTATGCTGAGCAGGTGACTGACAGAAGTTGCAGAAAGATCTCTTTGCTTTTTGTTTTCTTCTGTGATAGTACTTTGCATTCTTTTCTGAGTGTAGCTTCAACTTTTGGATTTTTTTTTTTTTTTTTTTACTGAGCCGGAGCAAATTTTTTTTAATGCTATTTGGATTTGAGAATGATAGGGGAGGGCTGTTTCTCACTATGTAAAACTTGTAAAAATAGGGCAAGTCTTTTGTATGCCAAATTTCAAAGTATAATAATTCTTAATTCTCAGGCTGTGGTTTTGCTGAGCTTAAAAATTAATTTGAAAATAGCTTTTCTCTTAAATGTTTTATGTTCTGTTCTTTTTTTGGTGTGCTTTCTTCTCAGGTTTTTAGCGGAATACCATGATGATTTCTTCCCAGAATCTGCTTATGTAGCTGCATGTGAAGCCTACTACAGTACTAAAAATCCTCGGGCAATCTACTGAAGCTCTTAATAAAGACTAAATCCTACTATATGTAGCCCATGACAATGCTATTTTGCCACGTGGCTACAAGATGAATATGAAAAAGGAATTAAAGCAACTTCTGGAGTTGAAAAAATAGGGAAATATCTTCTGCGATGGTTGGATTACTTAGAAATGGAGAACTTTTCAGATACATGTATAGACTGCATTGTGAGTTACTTAGAGGATTGAATATAACTCTGACTCCAGATGAATGAAGAAGCCTTGTTCTGACTTTAATGCATAGGACTGCATAGGACAATTAAAGAGGAAAGGAGGCAAAAGCAGATGCATTAGCAACAGGACATTTTCATGAAGATAGATCATCATGCTGTGTTTCATTTTAGCTCAACCTCTCCAGCCTGAGAAATAAGACTTGACTACACAGTTACATGAAGAAAATGTATAACTGGTATCTTATGGATTTTTTTCCTCACAAATTGCACTTCATTTTGTGGAACTGTCACGATAGAAAAGATTGCTTAATGTAAAGATGGTTTTGCTGTTTGGCTAGCATGACATCTGCCTCAAGAAGGACTTTGTTGCTTGAATGAAAGATGTGTTGCTTACTTTGCATTTTGCAAAGGTGTATATAGCTCTTTTCATGGTAAGGCTGCCAGAGTTCCAAGGAGAGCGTACATTGCCAGTGATTCAACATTTACATGGCAGTAAATTATTTCCAGAGCCATTATGAAAGAACTGATTTTCTACAAGTAAGCGGAGAAGTCAATAAAGTGATGGCAGTTTAACTGGCAAACACTTCTTAATAAAGTTCACAGTGGCTGCTGTATAAATGTGTGATTTTGACTGTCTAAAATGTCTTGTTTGTGCTTGATTAGTATTTCTGAGATTGCTAAATGTGCATATAATGAGAGGTGGGAGCACTGACAACATAGGGAGAGAAGCCCTTTCAGTATCATTGGGTTTTCTTCTACAAACTTGAAGAATGTCTGTTTAGACAGTTTTAAATGCTTTAGCTCTGGAAATAGGAATTCAGTGAGAATGGAGTTCCTAGAAATCTGACAACACACTCAGTAATTGAAATAGAATTCTTGTCTTGATTGTCATCAGAACCTTGTCTATGACTTAGAACTCTGGCCTTCAGAATCCTCTGCTATGTCAAGACAGACACAGATTTTTAAAAGCACTGGGAGAAAAATAGGACTCAAGGCTCACAGACTACTGCGTTAATCACTCTCTAATCCTTCCTAGTTCAGAAGACTTCCATTAGAACACTTGCCTGTAATGCAAAACTCAACACATTCCTCCCAGATCTGCAGAAACCTGTAGTTAGCAGGAATCATCTTTCAAATGTAAATGGCAAGTTTAGTCGAAGAGGTCAAAGGAAATCTGAAATGTACTGTTGGCATTCATTGTCACTTTTCAGAGTGTGCTGGTGTGTTAAAGCTTTTGAACTGAAAAGGTGAGGGTTACCTTGCTTTTAGCAATTCAGGTTCTGCTTTTTAGAAAAGCTGCTGTAAAGAGTCTGTTAAACTTCATGGTTGTTAATCTAGTTAACGTTTGGCATGGATGCATGCAGATTTGGTGATCGTTATTTCTGAAGATTACCTTTCAGTAGTACTACTCTTTTTAAATGCATTTCTGTTGTACCAAAAAAAACCATTTGTAAGCTTTAGTCTTTTTCAAATTACAGAAGTTTTGAATCTCTAGCAGAATCCAAGTACCTCAAAATCTACTTGCAAACATGTCTAGGCTTAGACCCTGTTTTTCTAAAAAGACAGTTCAACAAAATACTAATGACTACCTAATGAGATTAATCTTGGAATACTGCCTGAAACTCCATCCTTAATCCTTTCTATTGCAGGAATGTTAGAGTGTGTATAATATGGCAAATCTAGTTTTGTTCCACTGTTGGTACCTGTGAGTATAAGGGGAGTTATGAACGGCATTTAAAGCTTACTATGTGACTGTGTTAAACTGTTAAAATGACAATTTCTGCAGGGGTTGTTGATACTGTCGGTATTGTCTTGTTGATACATTGTGATGATTCCCAAAAGATGGGGCAGGGGGGAGGAATTCTGAAGGTCCAGTTAGCGTAGTCTTTATGTGAACAAACTTTTTTGTAAAATTCTCTTGAAGCTGCTATTGGATATAATATTACAAACTATCTTGCTCTCATAACAGATAAAAACCTGTTCTCAAAAGTAGCACCCTTTTGCGCTTTTTGACACTTCTAAGTGACATGGCTTCCCCAGACATTATCTCTTTTGAATTTAAAAAGTTTAGGTTTATGTATTCAATTACAGTAATGCGCATCTTTGGCATCTACTGTCGCTCTTCTTTTACTGCTTTCCTATTTTTAGACCTGATATTTTTTTATTTTTTTTTAAAGCTGAAGCAGTGCAAGACACTTGCCAAAACTTGGACCAGGTTGTGTAAGAGGGTAGTTCTTACTAGTCTTACAATATATAGAGACTTAACAGTGTGGCCCCCAAAATTCACTTTGAATAGAATATTCAAGGGCTCATGTGGCTAGGGGAAGCTTAATAGCATAGTCATACTGTTGGCGTGAATCTGTAACTCTTTGAATGTCCTTGAACGATTAGATTTTTTTGATGGGATTCATATCCATCTGAACTGATGAAAGAGGTTTCTGCATTTGGCTGTTTGTCATTCATTGGTCGCTGTTTGCAGAGCTACTCATATCAATGGTTTCTAACCTGATTCAGTCAAAACAGCTTAGGTTAGCTGAAGAAACGTGAAGACCTGACTGAAGCAGGGTAGGGAGCGTTCACATGAGCAAGTCTGCCAGCAGACATCACAGACAGCCTTCTGCAGAGCAGGAGCGGAGCTCAGAAAGCAGGTTAATGGGCTGTAATAGTTTACGCTGGCATAGCTGTTTGCATAACTCACCTGTGCTCCGCTTCCAAATTAAGGGGGGTTTGTGTATTTAGGGAAACTATACCAGTGTAATGATAGTGCATACTTAAACTGGTAAATCTCTCCGCTGAAGGCAAGTCCTTGCACTTGCCTTCAAGAGTAGGCTGCTCCAATGTGAGGTGTGGTGTAGGGTTTTGAATATGACCATTCTTGGGAGAAGGCAGAGGAGAACAGTCGCAGATAGGATTAGAAGCAAGTAATGCAGCTCATGTGGCACGTCAAGTGTGCTGCCGTGCAAGCACCCGAGATGCTCAGCCTGCACAAATACGCCTGATTTCGGTACCTGCTGTGTCAGCATCAAGGTACTGGAGTAACTTGAGACTGTGCCACAGAAGTATGAAACTATGTGAAGTGCTTTACGTAGATTGTAAAGATTACTGAAAAAGAATATATTAACAGAATGTAACTTGAATATTCTTCAGTTTTTATTCCTAATTTTAGGCTTTACTTTGTACCTATTGTGCTTAAAAAACCCCCATACTGTTCTTCCATGTGCACTATCTAGAATTGTTGCGTTGCCTTTCATTTTGCTGCTGCGTTGCTATGTTTTTCAATCTCCTGTTTGAAAGCTCAGGCTTTCACGTGGTATCCTCTTCTGCTGAGATGACCGAGGCAGATGTGACCAAGTCCTAATTTAAAGTATGTTCCATGTCCCATTCTGAAAGCAAACGTACGCAGATATTAGGGTTTCACTTGGCATTTGGTGTGGGCTAACAGCGTGTGTGTGGTCAGCTGTTGTGTCTGAAATGTTTAGTGGGAACTTGTCAAACAGTAGTGCAGGATGAACTTGCTCTGGATTATGCTGAGAGAGGAATGTCTGCAGTCAAAGAGGGAATAAAAAGCTGATTGGAAATAAAAAGCTGTTACTGCTTTTCATGTTTGCATCATAAAAAGTGTTATCAAGACATTTGGGAAATACACTGGGGAGATTGTTATTGGAGTTAAAATACATATGTATATATTAAATCCTTCATTTCTTGAAAATTACACATTTTCCCCTCTGGAGTCTTAAGCGTGTTTCCCATAAGCATGTATACTGGGGTGGAAATAAGCTTTTCAGGGCAGGGGGGAAGGAAGCAATGGGTATTATCCTTACCCGAGTCTCAAGTCAAGCCTTTGTTCTGGTAGTTAGCTGTACAAAAGCACAATGCTGACAGCTCCTGGACAGACAGCCACATCTTAACTGCTGGCCTGGTGCACGTTTGATTGCTTTTAACTTCTTGACCTATTAACAGGGCTGGAAAACAAGTTTGCACTTCAGGGCGCACAAACTCTACTCTCTAAATTCAAGAAGAAAATGCCAAATAAATGCAATGTAAGCATACTTTGCCAAATGCATCAAAAAATACATTTTTGTCCTGTGTACTGTAGAATCTCCTTTGTGATATAAGGTGATAGCATTTAATTGCATTAACAAGTCAAGTTACCTATTTATTTTTCTATGTAGATATATCAGTGTAGTGATGTTCCCTGGAACAACAGGTCTGGATGGTATGTTACTTTCATAATGCGTTTGACCATTGTCAGTACAACATGGATGTGTTTACATAGTCAGTTTATTCACTTGCTTATTAAACAATGAATTTGGAGGGATTTTCAGTTTTTTGTATAGCTGCATCATTTTGCTGTATGAAATTAGTGAATACAGGTACTAGATTTCTGCAGTCAGAGGTACTGATGCAGTGTTTTCTGCCTCAATTTTTGGTGGTTTTTACTTCAATTCAACTCCCCCCCCAACTCCCAAAACAAAGTCTGGAATACATATTGCCTTGGGAAAGCACTATCAGCAGTGAATGAGTGGCAGATGTAGATGCTTACTAAGATCTAACTCAATACATCCTCCCTATTGCATGCATTATGTATTTTCCCCTTCTAATTCATATAGCAGATGACTTTTTTGCATTAAGGCTAAGGATTATAGCAAGCTGAATAAAATCAGTGAAGTATAAACATGAGCTCACAGATGAAAAGGAGAAATCTGTTTAAAAAAAAAAAAAAGGCAAAAAAGTGCATGTACCTCTTGTGTGTCAGTTGGCAGTGGTCGCTCTCATTATGTGAAGTGAACAAACCTGTGGGATGCAAATTGATAAATCCTGGCACTAATACAGACCTTTAAAAGTGTCTGCTAAGGAATGGAGCAATTTCTCTCCTGTTTTGTTGCTAGAAATGGTAGAAGGTTTTAATTGAGAGTGACTTTTTCTCTTATCAATGCAAGACACTGGATCTACTTCTCGGGGAAAGAAACCCAGGTATTAAAGTGTTGAATCATACAATATGTTTGTTCATGGGGATATTTCAGTGCGACGCCAGAAAACAAAGTGTGTTTATATAGTGAGAAATGTAGAGATAAATGTGTTTAGTTCCTGGCAAAATGAACAGCAGACATTTCCATCACAGCAGTAGTGTACCGGTTGTGTCTCTAAGATCTGTGAATGTTGAGTAGATGTTTAATTTATTAAACTTTCTCTAGTCTTTAGTTATAAGCCATTAATAATTACCAATCTGATAATTAAGTTTTTAAAGTCCTTGAAACAAAGCTATCTCCCAAGTACTTTCTTACTTGACTCCCTTTTGTCTTTCCTTGCTTGTATTTTTCTAGTAGTCTAGACAATTACAAAAACATGCTCATGAGATTTGTGGAGAGGAGGAGAATGGTTCTGACTCAGACTAGAGCAAGTTGCACATAGTTTTCTTAAGTGTTTAGATCTTTGTGATTCATTTTGAGGTACAGTCATCAGATATGTGTTAAATAGGATTTTATTTGTAAGCTCGAAAGTAGAGCCAAAATGAAAGTCAGGTGAATCGAATAGTGCGAATATATAGTCAAGTTATCGGATAATTTAAATATGCCTGAAATTGGTTCTACTGTATGTATTTCTATGTTTTCTGTTTTAAATGTGGCTCTCTGCTTTGTCTTGGTTACTCAATGCTCAGTATTGTAAATGAGGGCCTTTCTCTAAAGTGTAAAATTGATTAAATGTCAACATGAGTAATCAAAACATCAAATTTTGCCATCAATCTTGATTTAAACATAGAAATGCTACCATGCCACGTTTTGAGCAAGAAGGTATTCTGCCCTTCTTTTTGCAGAAGCTTCTTAGAAATACAGTATACGACAAATCTGCTGCCACATGGCTGACCTGGCAAAGGTGTTGGTCTTGGTGGAAAGACGAAAGTCACCTGCAGCTCGTTGCAAAGTGCCCTCAGCCCATGCAGAAGGTGCTCATGGTGTTCCACTGGTGGGCTGGGGGCATTGGTAAGCATGCCATGAGAGACTCCTCAGATGGAATAAACCTTCACATGTTGCCTGTTACACTTGTATTTTAATGACAGCCGTACAGCAAATGCTTCCATGGCTGATATTTAGTAAGAGTTTTCATGCCTTACAACCTTCTGTTTTGTAGGCTGCTGAGTTAAGAAATCTCAAGTAGTTCTGTTTAGGTTTCACATGCATGACTGAGTAGGAGGTAGATTTTACTAATTGTTTTTAATCAGATTAATGAGGAATTTACTTTCTGTTGCTTTCTGTGAGTGACTACTGCAGTGATCTAACTTCTTTGGCATCAGAGATTTGTGCATTTTTTAAAAAAATCACTTATTAGAAACAGTGTGAGTAGTAACTAATTGGACATTTCATAAAGATTTTGCTTACTGGCAGATGGATGATATGACACATGTAATATATATGCAGTA